GATTTTGTTTGCGTGTTCTGCCCCCCACCGGCACTTGCTTCCCCTTTCTACTTCTCCACAAATTTTGCATAATTTCATTTTCCCTTTCTCTTTTCTTCTCTGCTTTGATTCTTCGGATAGGTTAGTTTGGCAGTGTGCTCGTTCAGATGCTCTCAGCTCCAGTTTTCTTTGATGATTTTCTTCTCTGGTCGTGTTTTTCTCCAATTTCTTTGATTATGTATTTTCCTCGAACAGTTGGGTTCATAATGAGCTACAATTTTATTGGTGGACACTTTCAATAGTAGAGAGATTAGAATCTACTGATAGGTGTGTAGAAAGAAACTAATTGAAGATGTGTTACTGAGAGAAGACTATGTACAGATAGAGATTATGAGGGAAATGTTTGTGATTAGAGATCAGCCCAGAGAAGGCGTTCAAATGGTATAGAGGTAACTGAAAATGTGCATACGCATACGAAATAGTGAGAGAGTGTGGGTAGCCAGTAGCGATAGGTAAGGAAACTTGAGTAAGGATCTTATGTTAAGAGGATGAAATTGAAAAATCAACCAAAGATGCCTTATCTTTTGATAGAAATGTTATGCTATTCAATAAAAGAAAAAAAAAAGGTAGGAATTGATTGGTGGGATCATTATATCTGTGATGTCTCTCATTGGTTGAAGAGGAGAACAAAACATCATTTATAAGAGTGTGGAAATCTTCTCCTAGCAGACACGTTTTAAAGCCTTGAGGGGAAGCCTGAAAGGGAAAGCCCAAAGAGGACAATATCTGCTAGCGGTGGATCTGGGCCGTTACAATATCCACACTTAATTTAGTTGGGGGATTATTTTCGTGTTGCATTGTATTATTTTGCTTCATATTTATGATGTAGATGGAACAACCCACGATCAATATGGAATGAATGCATATTTTATTTGGTGAGAATAAACGAATTGGAGCCTTTCTTCTGTTTCTTTACTTCATCGATGGCTTGGAGTTTGAACCCTATCTGCATGTCTTCCTCATAAGCTGAAAGAAAAAAGGACAAATGAAAGAATCCCAGCCAAAAAAGTAATAATTTGATGTCTTAGATCATACTATAGATAGTATTTCCCCAGGTGCTTGCCCAGTGCTAAATCCATCATAGTTGTTATAAACCATCGTATAATCACTAAGATAGCGAAATCACGCATCTGTTTTCCCTCATCTTCACCAAACAAAGGGGGAAAAACCACCACGAACCTATACAATTGCAACTCCTAACAAAAAAAAAGAAAAAAAACACCATGTTTTGACGACCCAAATGATAAAACCTCAAAAATTGCTACCATGTTTCAGAATTTGATCTCAAAAAACAACTTTATCCCAAGAACTAAACTGCACTGGAAACCAAAATCACACTGAAAACAGTACCTCAACGGCACAAGAAGGGTTAGAAGCTTCAACAACAGAGCTCCCCATCTCTGCCACTAATGGTGGATTACGCTCCTCTGCTCGTCCCACTAGCTCTTCCTTTCTAGCCATTGCGTCGAAAGAAACCCAAAACCAAGAAGACTAGAAGAAAAAATTATGATATGGTGAGAAGATGATTTTGTCACGGACATTCAGAAGAACAGTTAGAAGCAACAGAGAGGAGCGAAGAAGACGGTGAGACAGCTCAAGTTTCGCACTGTAATGGAGATTTGAAAATGGAAAAATGGGATAAAATTTTGAAGTGAAAGAAAGATTCTAAGAATAGGCGACTAAGCTCCCATAGAAGAACTTCATCCTGCCAAATCACCGAATAAAGGCCAATACTCAGAATCATTTGTATTCCTCATTATAACTGATGATAAATGGTTGGAGAGATTCATTAAGATTTCTCTAGAAGTCTCAAATTCCAAGCATGTTGAGAAGAATTCTCGACCTAGTTGAGAATTGATACAAAGGAGGGAAGGCAGTAGCAAGAACTTCCCCATTAAGCCAAGTGTCAAAAGATCGTATGAAGGTCTTGACCTATTCGATATTGGATATGATCATGAATAAGAGAGACAGTCAAACTAATGAAACACTAAGGGAACTTGAAAGAACCCATGACAATAGGAGTAAGCCAAAAACAATCTGCATCCAAAGAGGAATACTAGCCACTATAAGTTGGCCCCACATGAAGTTCATTTAGCAACACCAAATCCATTGAGCAAGGAGAGCCTCATTCCGTTTAAGATTACCAATACCAAGTTCACCCAAAAGTTGAAGGAGCTGAGTTCTTAACCAATTAACGTCATGCATCCACCTTCCTTGCGTACCTTCCCAAAACAATCTCCAAGAAGTTTGTCCATCATGTTAGCAATCTTTGACGGGAGATGAAACATGGAAAGGTAATAGATAGGCATATTAGAAAGAGTGGCTTGTATAAAAGTATGCCGTCCACCTTTGGAAACAGAAAAGTGACAAGGGAACCAAAACCTTTATCCTTGAGAATAGCATCAAGAAACCTCCAATCTACCTTATCAAATGCCTTCTCCAAATCAAGCTTAATAACCTCTTCTGTCCATAGCCAACACATCCTCAATATTTTCGGAATTGATACCAAGTAGTTCGTTGTTCTATGGATAAAGAACCACCCTCCAACCTATCCATCTCTTTTAGCTGAGCAACAAAGGAAGGAAGCTGCTCCATCTCAACCTTATCATGAAAACCTGCCCTGGCCAAACACTTTTTTAACAGTTCGATACTTCCTAATTCGTTGGTGTAAATGTAAACACTCTTTTAGCAACCTTCTTTAATTTCCAAAACGAGATCTTTCTTGTAATACACTTGATATGAACCAAGAGACATCATTCATACAATATACTTCAATGAAGATGTGAAGAAAATGTTGTCAAAATTATCAAAAGAGGTTGCAATTCATGTCACATTAAGAGGAATGAAGTTTGATGGTTATAAATTTTGGGTGGGTTACAATTTAGAGTAATTTTGAGTAATTTAGAGTTTTTGTATTTTAAGACATTTTATTTACTTTAGGTTACATTTACATAATGGCTAATTATGGTCATTAAGTATGAATGTTACAACTTTTGGAATGCCTTTAATAGTTTCATTTTGAGGCTATATAAAGCCATGTATGTTGTATTTGTAAGGAGACTTGGAAAATATAGTAAAAGAAGCATTTGTGCTTTTTCTTTAGCCAATTGCTAAGTTTCTTTGCAACTCTATGTAGTTTAGGTTGCATGTAGAATCATTCAAGCTTGACATGATCAATCTTGCTTGTGGAGTGATTCGAATCTCAAACAAGTGTTTGAGATATTTGATCAACAAGAATCATTCAAGCTAGACATGATCGATCTTGCTTGTGGAGTGATTCGAATCTCAATCAAGTGTTCTTGTCTTGAGATATTCGATCAGCAAGGTAATTCGAATCTTATTCCCCTTGTATTGATTCCTTATCTTATCAACACTTTTTGATTGTTGGAATATATTGACACACTTTATTTCATTCATCAATGAAATTTGATTCTTTTCTTACAAAAAAAAAAAAAAAAAAAAAAAAA